CTGGCTCCTGGACCCTGTCACCCAAACATTAAGGCATCTTGGGATGCGGGCCACACAGGAGAGACTTGGGCCTACAGACAGATTTTGAACCCAGATCAAAAAAAGTACCATCGGGGGTTGGAACAACAGGGGTAGCCAGAAATGTTGAGCTAAATTCCAGAAGCAGCCCTCAGCCTCTCGCAACCCGGCAGCCGTCTTCTATTACCCATGGAACATCACCTGTCCAGTTGGGTGCACTGTACGGTTGCCCAGGTTGTTGACTCCCACCGTTCAGGGCCACTTTTACCCTGACCTTCTCTTCAGAGAGTCTGGCCCTGGCTTGGTGAGATGGGGGACAGAAGAAGTGGCTGCAGCTGGCTTCCGCCTGTCACAGATGGGTGCAGAAGGAGGCCCTGGGTGCCCGTTGGGATCTGCCTGGTCCGCCTTAAGCCAGGAGCGGGCAGGACTGAGGCCCAGCTGGGGGCGGGGGGGAGGGAAGGGGCAGCCTGCCAGCTGTGGCCAGAGCCTGTGACCAGCTGTGCCTGCCCGTCAAGCCCAGAGGCGGGCAGCTCGGTCACCAGCTCATTTGATCTTCAAATAAGCGTGTGGGGAGGCGGGGGGGGGGCTGACCAGGGGGAAACTGAGGCTCCGCGGGAGGAGGCCGGACCCTCTGGGCTCCAGCACAAGGATTTCTAAACTGAGACCTGCAGGGACACGTCCCCACATGGTGCCACCTTCAGAGAGTTGACCCGACTCGTGGGGTTTCTGTGCAGGTTTTGTGCAACGGGGTATTTTATGAAATAAAAGCAATCATCAAGTTTGGGCCTCGCTGTGCCCATTTTCCAGGTGGAAAAACTGAGGCCCGGGGAGGGGACGCACTGGCCAGAGTGCCAGGGCGTGTTGGAGCCGCACTGTTCCCGAGGGTCTCAGCGCAGAGACCCCTTGTCCAGACTCAGCCCGGGGGGGACTGAGGACCCCATCCCAGAGCCAGCCCTGATGACAGCTGTGTCCCCTTTAAGCAGGGAGCCGCCCTTGGCAGTGGGTGGACTCGGGGCCCAGCCAGTGGGAGCCGAGGTCCCCTCCCTGTCCCTCCCTGGGAAGGAGGAGGCCCCGCCCGGTGGCTCCAGGGGACTTGGTGGGCAGCGGCTGGGGACAGAAGGGGACATGCTGTGCGGGCTGAGCCGGGAGACCCCTGGAGAGGCCGGTAGGTGAGGTGGGCGGGGCCAGGGGGCTGCACACGCAGGTCGCAGGGGCTGCCACCAAGCCTGGGGACCAGGGTGACCAGCCCTTGGGACTGCCACTCCCAGAGGCCCAGGGACTTGGCAGAGTGTTGAGGGGGGTGGTGGTAAAGGAGATGTCCCCGAGCGCTGGCTGGGTGGCAGGAGGGTGGGGCACAGTCGCCACATTCCTGGGGAGTGGCCGTGGGGCAGCGCTCGGGTGCTCTTGTCTGTCTGTCCGTCCATCCACTCATCTCTGGGCGACTTAGCCTAACTTCCTCGGGCCCCGGATCACTCCGTACTCGGTGCCCTGCGGTCACCCCGTCCCATCCTGTCCTCCTTCACCCACCCCCGCCACCTGGCACGCTCTGGACACAGCTGCACAATGGCTTTAAGGGCTGTGATCCCAGAGGGCAGAAGAGGAGACTGAGGGTCAGGGAGGACCACTTAGATGACTTTAATAGCACCACGCCCCCTTCCCTGCTCGGAAGGACCCAGAAACTCTTTCTCCCACTCCCCACCCTGGTAAGGGGTCCTCAGAGGTCAGCCCTGTGCCCAGACTCAGCCCCACCACCCCCCAGCAGCAGGGGTAAGAAGAGTGACATTGTGTGACTTTCTTCGGCTTTGGGGCTCTGTTCTAAGGGCTTTTTGTGTGTGTGTGCATTTTTTCTCATTTAAATCCTCAAGAGAGTACCGTAAATGGTGTACCGTTATTATTCTCCCCCATTTTACAGCTAGGGAAACTGAGGCACGGGATAGTAGGTGACTTGTCTCTATCAGGTGACCTCTCTCTCCTTTCTTGAACTCTCTAACCCGTCTTTGATGATTTACTTGATCCTCTCCGCTGCAGCCCTCACCCTCCTGTCCTCCCCAGGTCCCAGAACCTCCTGAGTTGACACCTGCTTCCGTTGACATCAGCCCAAAGGCTCTTTTTTTTTTTTTTTTTTTAAATACAAAAAAAGCAGCTTCAGGTGCAGCGGGATCCAGGTGCTCAATTAGCATCATTAGGACTCTGGGCTTCATTTCCAGACAGACTCTTCTTGACCTTCAAGCTTAAGGTCAACCAACTCTAAGGAAAGAGCCCGTTTTCTGACAGTTCCAGCAAAAGTTGCTGGGCTGGCCCTCATTGGCCCAGCTTGGATCCCACGCCCACTGCTGACCAATCACTGGGCTTCTGAGTGGTGCTCGCCCCCTGGGGCTGGAGGGATTGTGGCCTGATTGGCTGGGGCTGGGCCAATCAGAGACAGGCTTAGATCCCACACCCATTGCTGACCAATCACTGGGCTTCTGAGTGGTGCCCGCCCCCTGGGGCTGGAGGGATTGTGGTCTGATTGGCTGGGTCTTAGCCAATCAGAGGCAGGCCCATCCCCAGGCTGGCCAATCCCAGCAGGTCCGCGCACAGACTGGGCCAGGAAGCCCCGCCCCGAGCATCCACTTTCCCGCCTCTAGGATGGGAGGCCTTTTCTGACTTCCCTGTCACAAAGATGTCCTTGTCCCCAGGGCCTGAGTGAACAGTTGGCCACCCAGCAGGGGCCTGGAGCCAGGGAGGCCCGGGTTCCGCCGCTTCCGAAGAAGCCCTGGCCTTGAATCACTTGCGTCTCTTTGATCCCCCTTCTCCCAACCCATAAATGGCAACTGAATTCAAAAAAGATTTGTTGGACAGTGACCCGTGTCCAGCCAGCCCCGGAGTCGACAGACGGAAGCCCAGCCCAGTCCCTGCCTGCCCCTGACATCCCAGAGGACAGATAAATCAGTGTGTTTTAGAAAAAGTCCAAAAAAAGCAGCTAGTGAGATGCTGTGCAGCTTACCAGCCGAGCGACCACTCTGAGCTCCCACCAAATAGGGAAATCCATGAGTTCAATCTTCAATGTCCTTTCCCCTGCCCTTCCCCGCCCCCAGAAAAGCTGAAGAGGAGGCCCCCCGCCATAAATTCCTGAAGGAAGTGAGAGAAGCACTTTGTACAGGCTGGGAACAGTATTCTAGGCAGAGCAAGAGCCAGTGCAAAGGCCCTGGGGTAGGGTGTGTAGAACAGCCATTGGAGTGCCAGCAGGCAGGAGTGGAGCCGGGGAAGAGGGGAGCATTAGGAGGTGAGGTTGGGGAGGCCAGAGGCTGTCACGGTGGGGAGGACTGTGGATGGGATCTTCTCAGTGCTCCAGGAAGCCACTATTGGAAAATTAAGTCATTCTGTAGGTGACCCAGTTTTGAGGTCATATCCTTGCTATAGCCAGTGGCAGAGGGAGGGCAGAGGGGCACAGACCTAGAGCACAGATGGCCAAGCCTGAGCCACCTCCCACCTGGTTGGGGACTGCCATGCCCCCTGGAGATGGGCTCTGGCAGGGGTGTGGCCCCAGGTCCTGCGCACTGCATGGAAGGTAACTTGGGGACCCTGGAAGTCCCCTTCCCAATGCCCTGACCCCTGTCAGTGGCCCACTGCCCTCCTGTGTAGGGAGGAGAGAGGACCCAAGGGTTAAGGATGTGGCCTTTGGGGATTCAGAGAGGCCCAGCTCCTGGATGCTGTGCAGCTTACTAGCCCAGTGACCTCTCTGATCATCCATCTCCCTAATTGAGAGACAGGATCTCGTTAAGTTCCCTGGGACCTTGCTAAATTGCCGAGGCTGGCCTCCACCTTGTGATCCTCCTGCCTCAGCCTCCAAGCCCCTGGGATTACTGGCATGTGCCAGGGGTACTCTTAATTAATTTTCTCTTACAATCCTTGGCACTGAGTGAATCAGACGTTCTGTGAGAAATGCTCAGATGCCTGTTCTCTGGAACTTAGCAGCCCCAGAGCTACAGGCGTGGTCCCTTAGCCCCCTCCAGGCCTATCCTGGAGTTGGGGAGCAGCCAAGAATGGACCTGGAAGGTAGGGCCAGAGCCCTGGGGAAGCTAAACAATCCTGGATCGGTGCTGTGTGACATTGAGCCGTTTCCTAAACCTCTCTGTGCCTCAGTTTCCTCATCTATACCATACAGGTGATAATGGCGCCCGCCATTTAAGACTAGCGTGAGGATAACGTTGTGGTCATTTTCAAGTTCTTAGAACAAGTCCTGGGTTCAAATTCTGGCCCTGCCCTTCACCACTTCACCTGTTGATCTTCCAAATGGGAATAACGCTGATACCATCTCCAGAGTGACCGGGATTAAGTGAGATGCTATTTATCCAGCGCATACCATCGTCCCCTGATCCAGAGCGGTGGTTGCCATAACTCTAGGAAAACCTTTGAATGCTCTGGGGGACAGAAAAGGAACCACTGTGCTTCCTCTGCACCCTACACCAGGTCCCCTTGACCCGAGAGCAGGGTAGGAGCGCCCCCATTCTGCAGAGGGCAAAACTGAGGCTCTGAGAGCAGCGTCCGGCCTCAGATCTCTTTTAGAGCCGAAAGCTGGGGGGTGGGGCAAGGATTGTCACTGGGCCCCCCTCCCCCCAGCATCCTTGAAAGGTTGAAGCCAGGGGACAGTGGGGGCCACAATGGAGCCAGGTAGGTGCCCCCTTCTGCATTGGCACATGGGGGCTCCTGATGATGGCCGGCTGTCCCTTGTGTCCAAGCTGATCCCATGCACCGGCTCATTCCAGGCCCGCGGAGCCAGCTGTCAATCAACCTTGGAGCTCAGCTGACAGCCCCACCCCTGAGCCCCACCCCCCATCCCTTTTGGGGTCCTCTGATCCGAGGGGTGACTTCTCTTTTGTTAACCTTAAAGAAGTCCCTCCCCACTCAGCAGGGGACAGCAGGGGGACCAGGCCCCAGGTGTAGGGGGAGGGGGCTGGATTTCTGGCAAGATCTTTCCCTGCACTCCCTGCTCCCCAAAGCCACATTTTTCTGCTGGGGACTGGGGACCCGGTTGGCTTCATGATGGAAATGAATTCCCCTCCGAAGCCAGTTCTTGGGCAAAAAAATCTCCTAATTACCCATCGCTGGAAGGAGTCGAAGTGGGGGGGGGGGAACATGTGGATAAAAATATCTCTGTTTTTTTTGTTTTTTTTTTAATGCACGTTTCCCGATGCAAAAGGGTTGGGAAAGATGTTTTTGAAAAGCCTTCATCGCTAAAGCATGTAATTACCAGGCCCCAGAACAAAGAGGGACAGGGAGGCACTGCGCATGCGCCTGAGGGAGGGGGCTGGGGTCTGAACCCCAGGGTTGTTTTTTTTAAAAAATTTTCTATAAATAATGTCACCCCAGCTTCTCAAACCCCAGGCCAACAAGGGCAGACGCCTGCATTTCACCGATAGGGAAACGGAGGCTCAAGTTGGTGACACTGATGCTGCTTCTTTGATCCTTGGTCTGCTGCCCCTCACCCCAGGGTGATCTTCAAAGTGACAGCACGCCTTCCTTCCGGGTGGCTTTCTGAATATGTGGAGGGGTCTGGGTTATGCGGAAACCTCTTGGGCGACAACTTATCTGGGACCTCTTGGCCAAAATGCGCGTGTCTTCCCCTGGGAAGTCCTTCCCAAGGTCTGACTTATTGCCCATGGATTCTCTGTTGGCACACAGTGCTTTGAATCTTGGTTTGCAGCTCCCTCCACTCCCCAGCAAGCTGGGAAAAGAAGCATTTTGAGCCCAAAGCCAGGAAAATCGGGGAGAAATGAGGGAATTGGGGTCACTCCGTGTTGAGACAAGCAGACCCGCACACTTCAGCTGTCCCAAGGGTGTCCCCAGGGTGTCACCGTGCAGCCCAGCTCAGCAATGGAGCAAAAGCTGAATACTGGATGAGATGAACTTGCAGGAGACCACGCCAGGAACTGGGTTCTCTCTTTAGCGGCTAGTGGGTGCAGCCTGGGTGTCAGACCCCGAATTGGGGGAACCCTGTCCATCATCCTTTCTCCAAGTTTCTGATTCTTTTGATCATCAGGGCTCAAAACTCCACCTTGGACCTATCGCCTTGCTCAGCTCTGCTCTCTGGGGCTCTTGCTCTGAATTTGGTGAACTTGGTCCCCAGCTTCCTTAAGCGGATTGCCACCCCCCTCCACGCCCCTTGTCCCATCCATGCACAAACCTCCCAGCAGGCAGCTTAGCTCCCCGTCTTCCCGGGACACGGGAGGAGAGAGGGATTTTCCAGTGACAGAATCTAATTTGCACGGGATAAGACACATTTTCATTTCAGAATCGCCCTCGTGAAATACGCGACACGCTCCCTGTCACACAGTTGACAGAATCCAGTCTTTCTAATTTTATTAGCTCGGAAACATCTTGTTGAATCGAAATGAAGTGCGTATTAGGGAGCCCTAATGGGAGGCATTAGACTTAATAGGGTGTTACTTGCCTCCGTAGCAGCTGATGCGACAGGGGGTCTGGGGAAGGAGGGGGCAGCCGAGCTGCTGGGGACCCAGCCCCAGGGGGCCCAGGAAAGTGAGCACCGGCTGAACTGCTGTTTGATTTGTTATTTAGCAGCTCCTGCCAAGCCAAGGGCAGGCAGCTATTTGGTGGAGCAGTGACTGGGGAGCTGGGACAGTGTCTCAGGGGTTAGAGTGAAGATGGTGGCATTGCCAGGACCCTGAAACCCTGCTCCAGGCTGGCCCCTCCTTCTCCCACACTGAGCCCCGCCCATGGATGAGCCTGCCCCTTACCCAGCCTGGCCCCGCCCCTTTCCCAGACTGGCTCCGCCCCTTCCCCGGGCAAACCCCGCCCTTTCCCAGACTGAGCCCCGCCTCTGGCTAAGCCCGCCCCTTACCCAGGCTGGCTCCGCCCTCCCCCAATCTGAGCCCCGCCCCTGGCTGAGCCTGCCCCTTACCCAGGCTGGCTCCACCCCTTACCCAGGCGGGCCCCGCCCTCTCCCAGACTGAGCCCCACCCCTAGCTGAACACGCCCCTCACGCAGGCTGAGCCTTCCCCTTACCCAAGATGGCCCCGCCCCTTCTCAGACTAAGCCCCGCCCCTTACTTAGGCTGGTCCCGCCCCTTACAGGGATGAGCCCCACCCTTTTCCCAGGGTGGCCCTCTCCTCTCCCAGACTGAGCTCAGCCGCTGGCTAAACATGACCCTCACCCAGGCTGGCCCCGCCCTTTCCCAGACTTACTAGCCCCGCCTCTCATTGAACCCTCCCCTTACCCAAGTGGCCCCGCCCCTTTCCCAGTCTCCCTTCGCCCCTGGTTGAACCCTCCCCTCACCCAGGCTGGCCCCGCCCTTTCCCAGACTTAGCCCCGCCTCTGGTTGGCCCCGCCCTGATCCGGGTTAGCTCCGCCCCTTTCCCACGGTTGAGCCCCGCCCCTTTCCCACGGATGAGCCCCGCCCCTTTCCCACGGATGAGCCCCGCCCCTTTCCCAGGCTGGCCCCGCCCCTGCCTGTGGAGCTCCTGCCCAGCGCAGGCTTACGTTGCTGTCGTGGGGAACCTTTGGCAGGGTCTGGAGTGATTTCAGGTTGACACCCGGCCTCTGGTGACACTTGAACTTCCTACAGCGCAGAAGAGAGGCTCCCCGCCGTCACCACCAGAACTTATCTAGCGGAAAATGTCATTATTGTAGAGGTTGAAAAGTCCCTGTGGACTGAGCCCTGGTCTTGGTGTGACTCAGTCCCCACCTGGACCCCAAGTTGAGCCTGGACTTGGCCCATCCCAAGTCCTGATTCAGGGCCAGGTCCATTTACCCAGGCTGACCCCTAATCTGACCCTCCCCCACATAACAAAGACCTGCAGGGATGGAGTACGTCCTCTGCCACCTGCCCAGGTGGCTCCCCCTACCCTCCTTTCTGTCCCTGAGCAGGGAGGTGGGGGAAGGGGCGTGGCCTCTGGCAGGTGGCGGAGGGCGGGGGCAGGACACTCAGGAGACCTGGCTGGAGCCAGGGGGTCAGGGAGGCAGGGAGACCCTTCTCTGGCGGCAGCCTCAGTTTGCCTATCTGTCAAGTGGGCATGATGGTAGCCTCTGCCTCTTCCCAGAGTCACTGTGAGTCGTGAACAGGACCGAATGAGACAGTGTGGGTGGGCAGGACGTGAGGGGTAATCTGGAATACGATCAGAGTAACAAAGGGCATGGCGTGGGAGGCCGGTCCTGCCGTGGTCACAGTGGAAATCTAGCTTCAGGTCACCTTGAAATGCACAGACGACCTCTCAGGAAAGTCAGGCAAACCTCAGGTGCCGAAAAAGATCCAAAAAAGGAGCGGTGCGGGGCCTGAGGGTGTACGCCTGCCCCCGCCGCAACTCTGGAGGCTGAGGCAGGAGGATCGCAAGTTGGAGGCCAGCCTCAACAACTTAGCAAAAGATGAGAAACAGATATTCGATACATCTATTCCATCACCTTTGTACTAGAGATCCCCCCTAGCACCACTGGGCAAGTTATAGAAATACAAGGGACCAAGATTCGAAAGTAACACAACTGTCCTTTCATACAGATGACATGATCATGTCTGGAAGTTCCCGAGGACGCAGAGCGACTTGGGACCCTCTCGTGTCTTTTTTTTTTGGTGGCAGGGGGAAGGGGCACACACCCACTCTGAGTGCTCCGGCGGCTTCTTACACAGTGAACCCCGTCCTTGCAGAATCACCCCATCAATCCCACTCCTGAGGCTTTATCCAAGGGAAGTGGAAATTCAAGTTCCAACTCAAACCTGGATGGAAATGTTTGTCATGCTCCCTGCAAAATGAGCCCAAGTTGGAAACAACAGAAACGCCTTTCACCAGATGAAAGGCAAAAAAAAAAAAATCTGGTACAGCCACTGAGTGGAACACGCGTTGTTGATAATAACAAGAAACAAAATACCCAGCCACGCCATGCGGGTGAATAGCGAATGATTATGCTAAGTCACACACACACAAAAAATGAGGCTCAAAAGCCTCTAATACGGTAGGACTCCATTTCCCTTCTGGAAAGGGCAAAATTACAGGACCGGAACCAAGGCTGGCAAGGGACAGATATAAAGGAGCAGCAAAGGAGAATTTGAGGAGGTGATGGAAATGTCCCACAGCTTAATGATAGAGGTGGTTAAGAGGCATTTCCCAAACCTTGGGTCGATAATATTAGGGAAAAAAAAGTAGCCTTTGTATTAAACATGTATAGAGTTTTGGTTTTTTCCTGCTTCTTTCCTGGATGCTACAGTAGGGCAACTATTTTTTTCCCGTATTTATTTCATATTAAGGATTCTAAGGTGTCTAGAGATGATTTAGGGTGTACTCAAGACAAGCCAGGTGTGGAGGCACAGGGCCTGTGATCCCAGCGACTTGGGAGGCTGAGGCAGGAGGATCGCAGGTTGGAGGCCAGCCTCCACAACTCAGTGAAGCCCCAAACAACCAAGATCCTGTCTCCAAATGGAAAAATAAAAAGGGCTGGGGATGTGGCTCAGTGGGTAAGGGCCCCTGGGTTTGGTCCCTGGTACCATAAGTCCTCACAAATAAGCCTTGGTTATGGCCACTCAAGACTGAGTCGGTACTGTCTCTCGTGGGCGGTGGCACCTGCGTGTGGCTGAGCTCCCCGTCTCTGCAGGTAGGCAAGCGCGGCCCCTCCTGGCAGGGTCAGCAGCCGTGGGTTCTGATCTGCTTTGTAACAACTCCCCAGCTGTGTGGCCCTGGACTTGGAACTATCCCTCTCTGAGCCTCAGCTTCCTTCTGGGGTACAGTGGAATTGTCTCACCCACCAGAGTAACGTCACCGCCCGCAGATGGCGCTGAGGCTTCGACCACAGAGTGGCCCGGAAGCTCCAGGACCTGGCGGGGACTCACCGCGGTGCCATTTGACCAGAAGAGCCGGGGTGGAGGGCGGGGGGACTTCTTTAGGACAAGGGAGTCCATGTTCCCTAGAGGAGGATCCGGGGTTCCTAGTGGCTGCCACCCACAGCCCCAGGCAGGGGGCGCCCTCTGGGCTGAGATACGGTGGAAACCAGGGTGTCTTGTCTTTGTCCCCTGCAGACGATGGGCCGTACTCCAAAGGTGGCAAGGACGCGGGAGGCCCTGAGGTGGCCCTGGCATGCCGCAGACAGAGTATCCCAGGTAACGACATCTCTGTCCTCCCCCCTCATTCTGCCACTCGCTTGCTGTGTGACCTGGGGCCAGTCGCTCCACCTCTCTGATCCTCCGCTATAAAAAAAAAAAAATGAGATGATATCCCTCCGCCTTTAGCAACGCAGTGCGCATGCCTCCCCGGGGTTGGCCTCGCCTGTCTTGGACCAGGGGACCCCAGCACCGTCCCCTGCTGCGTGCTCACGGTCCCGTCTTCCTGCAGAGGAGTTCCGAGGGGTCATCATGGTGGAGCTGATCAAGCGGGAGGGCAGCACCCTGGGCCTGACCATCTCCGGAGGCACCGATAAGGATGGGAAGCCCAGGGTCTCCAACCTGAGGCCGGGGGGCCTCGCAGCCAGGTGAGGCAGGGGCTTGGTCGGGGACAGCAGGAGGGGGACAGGAAGGAGTCCCGAGAGCCTGGGCTGTTCCCTCTGTCTAGAATGCTGTTCCCTGCAGTACCTACCCAGCAGGCTCCTCGGGCGCTGCTAGGTGCCCATGTGAGCCAGGACCAACATTAGGGAGTGACACCGATGTGACATTCTGGACCTTCCTTGGGCTTGTCCCTGGGCTGGCCAGAGTCATCATCCAGAAGGTCATCCCAGCAGCTCAGGAGGCTGAGGCAGGAGGATCGCAGATCGGAGGCCAGCCTCTCAGCGAGGCCCTAAGCAACTCAGCATGAAAAAAAAATAAACCTGCTTCGAGGACAAGATGGGACGGGGGGGGGGGACAGAGTGGGGAGGCCTGGTGTCCCCCATCCTCGGGGTTCAGATCTGCCCTCGCTGGACACGCCCTTGGCCTCTCTGGGCCTCGACTTTCCCATTTTGTCCAAAGGAGGATCCCCAGAAATCCTCAGGGTCCCGGGGAGGGGAGGTGGGTCTGTGCGGCCCGGTCACTCTGGGGGTCCCCCCTGGTTTAGGAGCGACCTGCTGAACGTGGGGGACTACATCCGGTCAGTGAACGGGATCCACCTGACCAGGCTGCGGCACGACGAGATCATCACTCTGCTCAAAAACGTGGGCGAGCGCGTGGTGTTGGAGGTGGAGTATGAGCTGCCCCCGCCCGGTGGGTGCCCCCCGGGAACGCTGCCTCACGGCTACCTCCTGCCAGGGCCTGGGGGGTGGGGGTCGTGCGGCCACGGGGGAGGGGACCCACAGACATCCATGCCTGGCTCAGGACATGGATGCGGCACGCTGTCACCAGGAGGCGCAGGACCCTACTGTGCTTTTGCATATTGAATTTCCAGATGTTTTTCCTGGGGTGGTGGGGGGGTGATTTGGGGCACAGGGGCTGACCACGCACCCGTCCCCACTGCCCCGAGGTGGGCCACGCTCTGAGTTCCCCAAGTTGCTCTCCAGTCTGGACATTTGAGACTTGACTCAAGCCTGGGTTTTTGGCAGCCTCTTTGTGAACAAGAGGCAGGCTCCTCCCTCTAAGTAGGGCACTACCCCCGGGGAGTGTGAGATCTCCCAGCGCCGCCGCTGGAATAGCTTGGGGGACATCTGGCGGCTGAGGGGGTGTGACCGTGGGACTCAAGGGAGTCTCTGTTTCTCTCCAGCCCCCGAAAACAACCCCAAGATCATTTCCAAGACGGTGGACATCTCACTCTACAAAGAGGGGAACAGCTTTGGCTTCGTCCTCAGAGGTCGGTGTGAGAATCACCCTTGGAGTTAGTGGGTGGGGACACAAAAGAGGCCAAGGGTCATTTCCTGTGTGTTTATGTGACAGATATCTAAGAGAAAAATCATATAAAAAAAAAACTGTGGTGAGCGGGGGTGCGGTGGCGCATGCCTGTCTTCCCAGCGGCTCGGGAGGCTGAGGCAGGAGGATCGCAAGTTCAAAGCCAGCCTCAGCAACTTAGCAAAGTCCTAAGCAACTCAGTGAGACCCTGGCTCAAAATAAAAATAAAAAGGGCTGGGGAGGGGGCTCCATGGTTAAATACACCTGGGTTCAATCCCTGGTACCCACCCCCCAAAAAAAGAAATAAAATGATGGTGAAAGCTACTGTGAGACTGAGAACAAAGTTTGGAGCTGCCTAGCAACCAGGGCAAAAAGGGAAATAAGATGAACTCACAGGAAAAGAAGCAAGTCATTTAACAGAGAGAGAGATTGGTCATGTTCCCTGTCCCTCGTCCCATCAATGCAGGGTGGGTGGGTGGGTGGGGGAGAGATGTACAGTGGGTGTCTCACAAGAAGTGTCATGACTAGCCAGGACAAGGTCCTCAGGCAGGTTGAAGTGAGGAAGGCTGTTCTAGGGACATGGTGGGGGCCTCTGGGTGTCAGGGAAGGGGTGGGCAGGTGACTCCCGCCTCTTGTTGAATTGCGTTCAGGAGGTGCCCATGAAGACGTGCACAAGTCCCGCCCGCTCGTCCTGACCTACGTGCGTCCTGGTGGCCCAGCTGACAGGTGAGGCTCAACGGGAGGAAGCCACAGCCTCACTCCGCACCGACCTCCCCTGCCTCCCCGGAGAGGA